TATATATATATATATATATTAGGGGTTGAACAACTTCTGATTTTTTTTGTCGACTTTTATGTGACGAAAGTTGAGTCGAAGTCGACTAGTCACTGATGACGTCATTAATGAACAAATAAGTCTGGAGCTGTGATAAACACCTTGTGCACAGCTATGGCACATGACACAGCGCTGCCCACATGGCTATTGCTCCTATAACAGCTCATTTTTATCAGTTCTTTTGTCTATGGGTCGTTATATTTCTCACAGATTTCTACTCATTCTAAATCAGATACAGATAAAGTAGAACAGTAAAGATTACATTCATATGAATGCATTAGAGCGATCACGTGTGTGAATTAACTCTACCTGGTAGCGTCTCTCTACAAGCACTGAAGCTGTGGGATTTAGTTATTAAAAAATACAGCCTGTACCAATAGGCTGTTTAAAACGTGCATTCTCCCGTTCAATTTCGAGCATCCAATAATATAATCACATGTCTTGTGGAGTTTTCAGAGTATGCATTTATTTGTCATTTTAACTGTTTGGAAACAGAGCGTAAATGTGGAAGTCCTTTAAAGATTTCTTATCCTGTTGCACCCTCTATAGGACCAGCGACTAGTCGACATCAAGCTTAAAGCGTCATGGCAGAGCATTGAAGTCGACTAGTTGGTGCAACCCTTATACAAGTGCATATATAAGTGCATTAGGGCTACATGATTAGGACAAAAAAACAATTGTTGATTATTTCATTTGACATTTTTGTTGTTTTTCTCATTTTATTTATTTGAGTCTTCTTTCTGTGTTGGGCAACTGCATGCCATTTTCTTTATTTAAGCGACAAACACATTAAAAATAAACCAAGAACTGTTCCTGGATGACTTTTTTGCTGTTTTATATAAATCAAAACCTAAACTATCAAACTCAATGGTTAAAGGGACAGTTCACCCAAAAATGAAAATTCTGTCATCATTTACTCACCCTCAGGTTGTTCGAAACCTGTATGAATTTCTTTCTTCTGCTGAAAACAAATGAAGACAGTTGCTGGTAGCCATTGACTTTGGTAGTATGAGAAAAATACTATGGAAGTCAATGGGGACCAGCAACTGTTTGACCAACACATTCTACAAAATATCTTCCATTTGTTTCTTTTAGCAGAAAAAAAAATTCATACAGGTTTCGAACAACCTTTCATTTTTGGGTGAACCATCCCTTTCACTAAGCAGCATAAACAACAAAACCAAATTTTTCAAATTCTGAACAAATTCTACTCAAAGCGAGCAAGACAGTGATACTGGAACGCTTCCATTAACAATCAATGAAAGTGTCACTAACTACTTTAGACTGTTTCATGTATAACTGCAGTTTAGTACGAGCATGCACTCCTGTTATAATCAATGCAGCTGTCTACACTCAGAAAAATCTTTTATTTACACAGTGTCTCTACACCATGTTGACTGTAATTGGCTTTAGTTTTTAATTTGTATTCAGCTAATTGTGCAGTGGAAATCAAGCAAGAGTCACAAAGCAGTGTATATGAGGAATATAAAGTGAAAACGACTCCGTACCTGGGCTCTCGAGACCCGTGGACACGACCTCCTCCACATTACTACCATTCAGACTGGCTCTCATGATACGGTCCAGTGTCACGTCTGACCAGAACACCAGCTCGTTGCTGTGATGAAAGTCCAACGCGATGGCGTTTTCCAGATTATTCAGTAATAACGTGTACTCTGAGCGGTGCGGCATAACCTGACGGATATCAATCCGATTCGCAAACAACAAAACCGGTTCTGGACCTGGGAATAGAAAACAGTTTGTATTAAACTGATCATCTAGGTTCCAAAATCATCCGATGTTTTGCTGCTTTCACAGTAGATACTGAGCCTCACCCAAAGCTTTGCAGCTACGTTTGTCGGGTCGAAGCTCGTAACCTTGCACACACCAGCAGTGAAATCCTCCTTCTATGTTGGTACAGCCTTGACTACAGTAACCTTCATCTGCACACTCATCAACATCTGCATTCAAACGCAGGAAAGTTTAGAGAGATTAAATACATCACACAAAAACATTTATTAGTCAGTTTAACCTCCAGTTAACTAACTAGTTAGAAACAGAGAGATTGCAAGAAGACTTTACAGTCTATAACTGAGAACTTGCAACAATATCTAACAACACTATGGTGAACAAAGTCCAATACACTCCTAGATTTCTACACTTAAAGATCCAAAAGGATTTAGTTTTAATAAAAGCAAACACTGTTAAGTGATACTGTACTGTAATATCCCTGAAATTAAACTGTGGCACTCAGGGCAGGATTTAGGGGGGCCCCTGGGCTTAAGGTTATGTTTGGGCCCTATACCTACACTACAAATGCCCTCAAATAGAACATCTTTATGGAGTAACACAAAATACACAAACATATGCTTTGAGGTTCATAAATAGTACAATTAATATGCAACATGTCTAGGCTATAGTCAAAGTTTAAATGTAATATTAAATACATTAATAAATAATATAATAAACAGGATGTGATCTCTCAGTTGAGAGATCAAAACCCTGAAATAACTTGAGCAAAAAAATTAAAAAAAAGCCAGAGATGTTGGCTTATTAGTATTATAAAAGTTATTGTCATATCTGTGTCCTCTTATGTGAGGTTCTTATTTAATCAATAAATTAAATTAAATAAAAATACATGCTGGCTATTAACAATCAAATGAAATCACTATCAACAACATTCATAGATGGATTGAGCATAATGTTAAGTTTAAATATAACATTTTAATGTAGAAATATTAAATGATTACAAAAATGCTACTTTTTAAAATATGAAACTTTAACCGCCAGTAGGTGGCAGCAAGTGACCGTCTTAATGAGTGAGTTGAATCAACTGATTCGTTTAAAAAGCGGATTCATTTTAACTTTGCAAACGACTGAACTTAGAAGGAGGACACATGTATTGAATCGCGTCTGCACCGATTGGTTTGTTATCACATGGTTACTTTAACAGCTCCATTCCTCGTATGTGTAAACATACCTGGCAATAAAAAAAACTCATTCTTATAGCTTGATTGAATCATTCGCTGGTCCGTGTAACGCTGAGGAACAAAACACTGTGGTTCGGAGACGCAGCGGCTCTGCTGTTTGTTCTATTTTCTTTCTGACGGAGCAAAACAGAGTTTTGTGTCTGAAAGTTACTCTGTAAGTTGTTGTTTATTGTACATTTGCGATCGTGCAGATATTCGAGAAAAAGAAACAGGACTCTTGTTTGTGTGATAGGCTAAGTTCTATATCATAGGCATAGCTATGTTATAAAAAGAGCGCTCAAAGGGAGAGAGCGCTCAAAACTCATAAGATGATCGCATAATTTAGTGGAACATTAATAGGCTATAGTAATATCGAATCATCCTCTGTAAAGAAATGAGGTGTGAACATTTGAGTATTTATCACTATCTTTCTAAATGTGCGCTCTTTGGAGCTAAAGGCTTAATGGAGCTTTTAAAGTAACCATGTGATAACAAACCAATCGGTGCAGACACGATTCAATACATGTGTCCTCCTCCTATGTGAAATAATCATAAATACCAGTTTATGCTGTTTGATTGTGGCCTCGAAGGTCATAGTTGTTTAGATCTTGTGTGCGCAGTGGAAATGCGGCTAATAATTTCTGAATTCTGACTGGCATATAACGAACAAATCAAACAAACGTAAACGGGCAAAGGCGGGGCCCCTACAAGGCGGGGCCCATGGGCTGCAGCCCACTCAAGCCCAATGGTAAGTCCGGCCATGGTCGCACTCATATTTTTAGTATTAGTGTATAAATATAGAGTACTGTGCAAAAGTCTTTGGTATGTTAGATTCTTCACCAAAAAAAGTTAAGTCAGTTATTTATACCCTTGTGAAAAAGATGTGTGCTTAATTTGTATTGAGTGTGTACTTGTAGTGTGCTTACAGACTTAAGAGTATTTCTACAAAAAATTTACTTACAGAAATATATATATATATATATAAAATGTCACTTAAGTTTATTTAAAGAGGGACACTTTCATGACTGTTAAACTTAAGTACACTTTTAAAAACTGCACTTCATAATAATGTTAAATTATTAAATAATTTATTTTACTTTACAGTTATTCAAATCTTAATGTTTTAATGATCTTTTATCATACTTTAAAGTACACTCATTTTGATGTGTTGACTAACATACTAAAGCACATGTAAAGTACTTGATTATAATTTTAATGTCATGTAATGTTTTTTTTCAATATTATATTTGAAGTTAATATATTTAAAAATGTCCTAAAACTGCAATTTCATCATTACAAATGTGCAATTATGAAAATATTTAAATACATGACATACAAGTTTCAACAGAAATTATATATTTTCAAAGTATATTTTATATTTTATGTTAGTTTATCATAAATGCTTGCCTGAGAGAGACTAAATGTATAAGAACCGTGGCATAAACTCTTAAGACACTTAATACATAAATGTATCAAAATAAATACATAAACTTTTGTTTAAGTATATAAATCCCTTGCAGAATTCGTACAAATAAAAGAGATAAAAGATCTATTTTTCCCCATAAGAAAATAACTAATACAGAAAATCCTGATTTTAATCCCTTGGTTTTTAACTTTCTTTTCTGCTGTCTTCTCGTTTATAAACCGTCCTTTTTCCCCCCTTGTCTATGGCCTCACCTCTGCATGTCTTCCCGTCCTGAGTTAATGTGTAGCCGGTGTGACAAGTGCACTGCACCAGACCTCGAGACATCTGGCATTTCTGCGAGCAGCCTCCATTGTTAACATCACAGTTTTCTTCACTTGACTTGGATCCTATAAACACACGGGCACACAGTCGAATGTTAACAAAGAAAAGAGGAGGGAATCAGATGCTTTCAGTGGAACTATGACTAGTCATCTTATGTTATATTTCACATATTTTTGCACTAATTTTGTAGACTCACGACAGTCCTTGTGTGGGTGCTCATCAGTCCCGTCTTCACAGTCTTTGACGTTATTACAAACCTTACGCTGACCAATACAGCGGCCATTTCCACACAGGAACTGATCCGATGCACATGGAGGAGTTTCTAAGAAACAAGGGGAACGTAAAAAAAACAAAAAAAACAATGCACAGCACATAGCTGCATTCAGTACTAGATCTTATAAATAATCTAAATAATTTTAAAAAATCAATTTTATTTGATCTATTCTAAGTCCATTTTGGGAGAAATATAGCATTCCATCAGTTGCTCATCAATGGATGCTCTGCAGTGAATGGGTACCGTCAGAATATCAGAGTCCAAACAGCTGATAAAAACATCACAATAATCCACAAGTAATCCACACCACTCCAATCCATCAATTAATGTCTTGAGAAGCCAAAAGCTGCGTGTTTGTAAGAAACAAATCCATCATCAAGACATAGTAACTTTAAACCGCTGCTTCTGGCTAAAAAATTAGTCCATAATCCATAATAGCACTTCCTCCAGTGATAAAATCCATCTCCTGTTGTCTTTCAAATCAAAATCCATTCACATATTTGTTTAGATCTTTTTCGGACTGATTCAGACCAGACAACTTTTTCACTGGAGGAAGCATTATTATGCATTATGGACTTTTTTTTTTAGCTGGAAGTGATGGTTTGAAGTTTAAAACATCTTAATGATGGATTTGTTTCTTACAAACACGCAGCTTTTCACCTCACAAGACATTAACTGATGGACTGGAGTCATGTGGATTACTTCTGGATTATTGTGATGCTTTTATCAGCTGTTTGGACTCTCATTCTGACGGCACCCATTCACTGTAGAGCATTCATTGGTGAGCAAGTGATGCAGTGCTACATTTCTCCAAATCTGATGAAGAAATAAACTCATCTACATCTTGGACGGCTCAAGGGTGAGTAAATTTACAGCAAGTTTTCATTTTTGGGTGAACTATTGCTTTAAGAGATTAAAAAAAAAAGTATGTATTGTCTTTTATATTCCTTACCAGTCTTTTCACAGCCATCTTCATCACTGTTATCAGAGCAGTCATCCTCCCCATCACAGCGCCATGACAACCGCACACATCGACCAGACAAACAGCGAAACTGATCAGCCATGCACATCGATGTACCTGATGGTGAGAAAGAGGCGTTTGACAGATGTGAAATCCACTCACACACACAACTGCTACTATAAAACAGTTACTCACTGCAGTTCTTTTCATCCGATTGGTCGTCGCAGTCGTATTCTCCATCACACCTCCAGCCTGCATTGATACACATGCCACTGCTGCACATGAACTCTGCAGAACGGCAGGGCTGGTGGGGGGCTGCGTTCACACACACACACACACACACACACACACACACACACACACACACACACACACACACACACTCATGAAACTTATCTGTACTAGGAAATCTTCTTGAATAACCGTTGTGATAAGAAGCACACTTTAGCATACTTTTAAGAATAGTACTTATGCAAACATTATATACTGTACATTTTAAAGAATATATCTAAGTGTAAACAATGTAATGTTTTCAGACACTTAATTGTGTGTTAATTGCAAATAAATTAAAATGAATTATATATATTAAATTTATATTAAATGCAATTAGATCCCACTTAAGTTGTACTTGAGTATACACAAAGTACACATTTGTAATGAAGTTGCAATTTAGTACATTTAAAATATATTAACTTTAAATGTAATATTGAATAACACGCTACAGCTAAAATTATAATCAAATGCCTTACAGTACTTTTAATAAAAAACAATTCCAACAATAAACTAGCATGCCAATGTCAAAAAATGACAGATTTACAGTAATGATAACTGTTTTTTGCTCAAATATTTTAAATGAAACCGCTTGTGTAAAATAAGTTGACTGTAATGAATGTGCAGTTGTAGAATACTTAAAAAATCGAGTGTGTATTTTTAAAGTACTGCATTTGCAGATAATATAATATTAATTAAATAAAAAGCCACTTTTTAAGTGTACTTAAAGAGAGACATTTTCAATCCTAACATACTTAATTACACTTAAAACATGCACTTTGTAACAATAGTAAACATTTTAAATCAGTATGTTTTAATAATCTTTTGTCATGCTTTAAAGAAGTACACTTATTTGATGTGTTGATTAATATACAAGTTTCAATACTTGATTATAATTTTAACTCTAGTGTGTTATTCGATGTACTGATGTGCAACTTCATAATTACAAATGCCTAATTACAAACATATTTTAATTCATGACATTTTATCATAAATGCTTGTCAGTATATTCAGCAGTACTTTAACCCTATTTCAAAGACAACAGAAGTAATTATGAAATTACACATAAAGATGTACTTAAGTCCTACTTAAGTGTGTCCAAAACACTGCATTCAGTTCCCTCTCAAGTATATTCTTTTAAAGTATATTATTTCCATGATTATGCTAAAGTCTGCTTTTTCACAAGGGGAGGTGAGAATTCTAATGATTGTAAGGCAGAGAAAGAAAAGAGGCATTTCAAACAAAAAATAAATGTTTTAAGAGAGAGTAAGAAAGAGCGAATGTTCCTTACAACAGTCCGACTCATCAGACCAGTCCCCGCAGTCGTCATCTCCATCACAGTGGTAGATGTCCAGAATACAGCGGCCATATGCACACTGAAACTCCTCAACACTGCATGTGGCTGTCATCCCGTCAGATGCTGGAGAGAGAAATTAGGTAATGTGACTTACACACACACACACACACACACACACACGCACCCGCAAACAGTCCAACAAATACCTTTCAACAGCTATTTGCAATAAATAAAACAAACAAAAACAAATATAACATGGAAACAAATACAGTCACAAGTAGCAATCATTGGGATCCAAGCATACTGTATGAAAAAAGTGGAGAAGTTGACCACAATTTCGCAGAATAGTTCATACTGTTGTTGATAAATGGTGGCAAATTTCCTTTGATCAATTTAAGTTAGCAGATTCTTCATTAAAACCAAAATCTGATGAACTGTTTATTGCTTTCAGGATGCTGCAATGTAGGTTTTGTGAAATTTTATAATGTTCATGTCAGAACATTTTTGGCTGGCAACTGCAAAACTAGTTGACAAATATAAATTGGTTCTTTTTGTCAACCAGCTCTCCACAGTATACAAGCGCAGCTTTAGAATAAGCAGAAATTATTTAGGAAAATCTAAAATAATGAAGAAATGACTAAAATATTTATTTTCTCTTTAGCTTTACCAATATGACAATTTATATGACTTGATTTGGCACAAATTTAGTTTCTACCATATATGAATTGTTCTATAAATTTTGTTTAGAGGCACGCAATGGATAGTTGGATGGATGCTTGGATGGATGGATGGATGGATGGATGGATGCATGCTTGGATGGATGGATGGATGCATGGATGGATGGATAGATGATGCATAATGAATGGATGCTTGGATGGATTATGGATGCATGAACGGATAGATGGAAACATGGATGCATGTATGGGTGCATGATGGATGAATGGATAGATGGAAATATGGATGCATGATTGATGGATGCATGGCTGAATGGACAGAAGTAGAGATGTTGATTTGACATACAAGTGCACTGAATCACAAACTCAACTTACGGCAATTCTCTTCATCGGTTCCATCTTTGCAGTCCGTGTCTCCATCACAGTACCAGTGTTCTGCGATGCAACTTCCATCAGAGCAGCGGAACTCTTTATCAGAGCACTTCCTCTTATCTGGACACACATACAAGCACAAAAAGGGCTTGAGATTCTTGGAGTGTGAAAAATCTATCTGGTGGTGGGATCAAGATTGCTTGGCAGAAAATTTCGGACAAACTTGTCATTTAATAAAATTAAAATGAACAAATAAACCCCAATTCCACCCCATCTGAAAAATAAATAAATAAATGTAAATGGTACAAAAGCAGATGCAGACCTTGATGAACTGATTAGACAACCTTGTGTTGAAATCTTCATCTGAATATTTTTATAAACTGATGGCTAGCAAGCATAAGGTCTGCACAGATGTCATTGCTGCAAGTGCAGGAATCTTTAATGAACGGTTTGAAAAATAATGCATTTAATTAAAATCAAAATAGGTATTTGTAACTTGGTAAGTGTCAGTTTCTTTCATAAAAACAAAAATGCCATAGTGATTCCAAACTTTTGAATTGTAGTGCATAAGATATGTCTGATCTTGCCTAGGGCACCAAATGATCCAATGGATTCATGATTGTATTTCACTTATGTGCAAAAAAAACTACTTAAATAGTACTGTAAGATATAACTAAGCATGCATGTAATGTTTTCAGACACATCATTGGATGTTAAGAGCAATTGAATGAAAATGTACTACAGTTTAAATGCATAACAAATGTAATTAGCTGGACCCATTTACTTTAGTAGGACTTCAGTACATCTTCATATGTCATTTCATAATTACTTCTGTTGTCTTTGAAATATGGTTAAAGTACTGCTGAATGTACTGACAAGCATTTATGGTCAAATAAAATGATGAAGTTGCAACTTCATACATTTAAAATATATTATCTTTAAATGTAATATCGAATAATCAAGTACTTTATAATCAAGTACTTTACATGTGCTTTATTTTAGTCAACACATCAAAATAAGTGTAAGAACGACTAAAGATTATTAAAACTTATTAAAAATGAAACACTTTGACAATCGCTTTTTAAGAAACATTCAAAAAGTGTACTCTAAATATACTTAAGTGTCCTTTTATTTTATTAATATTACCTGCAAAAAAAATTAACTATACTTTTTAAACTTTGAAATGCACATTCAATAAATTTTTTTTCAATAAAATTAATTTGTATTTTCTTCACAAAGGGATTCAGGACATCTGTTAGGGTTTTGTTATTTTACAATGGATGGATGCATGCTTGGATGGATGGATGGATGCATGCTTGGATGGATGGATGGATGCATGGATGGATGGATAGATGATGCATAATGAATGGATGCTTGGATGGATTATGGATGCATGAACGGATAGATGGAAACATGGATGCATGTATGGTTGCATGATGGATGAATGGATAGATGGAAATATGGATGCATGATTGATGGATGCATGGCTGAATGGACAGAAGTAGAGATGTTGATTTGACATACAAGTGCACTGAATCACAAACTCAACTTACGGCAATTCTCTTCATCGGTTCCATCTTTGCAGTCCGTGTCTCCATCACAGTACCAGTGTTCTGCGATGCAACTTCCATCAGAGCAGCGGAACTCTTTATCAGAGCACTTCCTCTTATCTGGACACACATACAAGCACAAAAAGGGCTTGAGATTCTTGGAGTGTGAAAAATCTATCTGGTGGTGGGATCAAGATTGCTTGGCAGAAAATTTCGGACAAACTTGTCATTTAATAAAATTAAAATGAACAAATAAACCCCAATTCCACCCCATCTGAAAAATAAATAAATAAATGTAAATGGTACAAAAGCAGATGCAGACCTTGATGAACTGATTAGACAACCTTGTGTTGAAATCTTCATCTGAATATTTTTATAAACTGATGGCTAGCAAGCATAAGGTCTGCACAGATGTCATTGCTGCAAGTGCAGGAATCTTTAATGAACAGTTTGAAAAATAATGCATTTAATTAAAATCAAAATAGGTATTTGTAACTTGGTAAGTGTCAGTTTCTTTCATAAAAACAAAAATGCCATAGTGATTCCAAACTTTTGAATTGTAGTGCATAAGATATGTCTGATCTTGCCTAGGGCACCAAATGATCCAATGGATTCATGATTGTATTTCACTTATGTGCAAAAAAAACTACTTAAATAGTACTGTAAGATATAACTAAGCATGCATGTAATGTTTTCAGACACATCATTGGATGTTAAGAGCAATTGAATGAAAATGTACTACAGTTTAAATGCATAACAAATGTAATTAGCTGGACCCATTTACTTTAGTAGGACTTCAGTACATCTTCATATGTCATTTCATAATTACTTCTGTTGTCTTTGAAATATGGTTAAAGTACTGCTGAATGTACTGACAAGCATTTATGGTCAAATAAAATGATGAAGTTGCAACTTCATACATTTAAAATATATTATCTTTAAATGTAATATCGAATAATCAAGTACTTTACATGTGCTTTATTTTAGTCAACACATCAAAATAAGTGTAAGAACGACTAAAGATTATTAAAACTTATTAAAAATGAAACACTTTGACAATCGCTTTTTAAGAAACATTCAAAAAGTGTACTCTAAATATACTTAAGTGTCCTTTTATTTTATTAATATTACCTGCAAAAAAAATTAACTATACTTTTTAAACTTTGAAATGCACATTCAATAAATTTTTTTTCAATAAAATTAATTTGTATTTTCTTCACAAAGGGATTCAGGACATCTGTTAGGGTTTTGTTATTTTACATCATAGGGCGTTTTACAGGGTGTGGTTTTATACTGAAGGGCGCATGCTAAACGTTTTGCAATGCCTTGTCTGTTCTGTTTTATTCTTTTTGTTTTGCTCTATATTGCTGCTCTCACTGTGCCCTGGCAGGTCCGTGACTAAGACCAGCTGATCCGAGTTACAATAAAATAATGACCTGTTTGTTGTGATTGATTAGAGTGCAACACCTCCAACATGTAAGGCTAGAGTAGGGATGTTCATTTTAACCGGTTAACCGTTAACCGACCGTATAGAATTTTGACCGATTAATACAATCAGTTAAACAGTTTAAAGAGTCATTTTTTTGGGGTAATTTATCAAAATATTGAAAAAGATTTGCTGCATGGTTAAAATACATATAAAAAATTGTGTTTTTAGAGAAAAAAAAACAAGTCGCGTATAAGTCGCATTTTATTATTTCATTCAGAAATAGGCCTAATGCAGACGCGAAATGTTTACAAACATTATAATAAACACTGTAAACATAGCTAGGCTATTTTAGTTCCCCTCACTCCACAACAAAGCCTTTCAATTAACAGTATTTAGAAAAGAACAAGAATTACAAATATAAGAAGCTATAGCAATATAAACGACAAGCCAAAACCAATTAACTTCGGCTAAAACGAAACTGAAACCAACGTTGGCTGTCTCATTCGACACAAAATCAAATGTTTCCGTATTCGCGATGTATTTGAATGGCAAATTATTATTTATTATGTAGCCTACTTCACTCGCGCTCCAATATCCACATAAAACAAAATGTTTTGCATAACATCACGGCGGTACGGTTATAACACTTAACGGCACAGATTTTATTGCCGTTTAAACTGAGCAGTGTGTTTTTTTCCATATATTTGACTGACTGTATTTTTTTATGATAATGAGCAGGCTGCATTGTCAAGGTAGCAACGCTTAACTGTGTGCACGCATGCGGCGCCTGCGCAATCACTTACATTATTTCTTTCTAACAGTGGAAACAACTACTCCTTTTAGTCAAAGATAATCAGAATTGTAAAAGGTTTGCCTTTATTTGTGTACATTCACAATAAAAACAAATCTTTGTGCTTTTGTAAAATAAGCCTAAAGAAAAATAGGATGCCGCTTTCTG